AAGAACCTCTCATGGTTTTCTCAAGGGCTTCATTTTATTTTTACGTCTTCGTGGTGGCATTGGATCGGGTCTTTTTCATAGGAAGTTAAGACTAATAGTCGTCTAAGATCGGAACAATCCTAGATGATACATCAAAGGACCATTTTGAAATTTCAATGGTCATTCCTATATTTAACAGTCTCAAATAAGAAAGGGGTCGGGGACAGAAATTGTTAACATTCAGTCGATAACGCGTTTAATGAATTCTAAGTACAAGTATGTCAAGAGACAATTGAAATTCATTGGAAATGAACTGTGCACTACTGGTTTCAGGTTTCAATCGTCTCTGCATTTGTATTGAAGCAGAGTTCATCTTACGGAGAAAAGACTTTGATAGATATATATAATTTTAGCTTCTGTTACAAATATGATCGGTATATCTAAATATGCATCCAGCAGCGGCTGCATATCAAGTATACATCTTCCAGTTGATATATTATTCCAATTTCCATAGCTTGCGTTTCTCATTGCTTCTTACAATGAATCTATTGAACCAAGGCCAAGAGTTCCTGATGGTAAAGTCATTTCAAAAGTTTTACGGTCGACCTTTCTGGAATATCTGTCTCACAGATGACCAAGAATATATTTGTATACACAAGTTTGCTGTTTATTCAAGAACTCCAGGGACTGACTATGGCATAGAAATATGGTCACCTGGAGTTGTCCCGTTCCCGTCGGCGGTAAAAGCCTTGCTAAAGTGGGGCTTACCGTTTGGCTGTGCGGGATGTACAAATAGGCAGCCAAAACCAAACATTTCTGATTGGGTTCCATTAATATATCCTTCAGAACTAGCAATCAAAGAAACAACAGACACGACTTCCTCCACCTCATTTCTAAAACTATATCTCGAATCTCGTATCAGAATCTATGACAAACGAGACGATTTCAATTTTAAAATGGTGAACTAAGCAGCAATATAATACACCACCTTTAAACGCGTATGGAGTATGCATTTCTCAACTCGTACGATATTCAAGGTCAGACAGTGTAAAACGTCATCCGCTTGTCTGAGCAAAGAATTGATAAGCCAGGGTTTAGTCATAAAACGGTTTCGTCCTTTTTCTCAAAAGTTCATCGGAAATTACCAAGACCTAGGCTAAAGGATAAATATTCAGTGTCTACTTCACAAATAGTACAAAATGGTCTTGCATGGGTTATGGATTCTAGGTGCTGATATTGTGCATCTTTTTATTTACTTTACAATTTGACCTTTATTTGTCTTAGTGATATTATGTTTCTTTGGGCTATCAAATTTTTGTTGGGTTCGGGCGTTCATGGTGGGTCCAGAGACGCGATTCGGACGCAAGAGGTTTTTATACGCCCGTCTGCGGGACGTATTATGGTATACCGTTGTCCGTCTGTCCGTCCGTCGTCAACATGTCGGACATTAACTCAAAAACGCTGTAACCAATTTGCACAAAACTTTGGTGAATTGTTTATATCTATTGACGTGAGCTCCCTTTCGTTTTTTATAAATTTTAGATTTTACGTTTCCGAGTTATGGGGTTTTATTCATTAAAAAGGGGGGATTTTCCAGTTTTCGGACAATAACTCGAGAATGCTTTCACCAACTTGCAAGAAATTGTGGTGTATTGTTTATATCTATTGACATGAGCCCCCTTTTGATTTTTATATATTTTAGATTTTACATTTCCGAGTTACAGGGTTTTATTCATAAAAAAAGGGGGATTTTCCAGTTTTCAGACAAAAAATTAAAAATGCTTTCAGCAGTTCTTATGAAACTTTGGTGAATTGTTTATATCTATTGATGTCAGCTCCGTTTAGAATTTTATAAAGTTTACATTTTACATTTCTGAGTTATGGGGTTTTATTCATTAAAAAAGGGGGGATTTTCCAGTTTTTGGACAATAACTCAAAAATGCTGTCAGAAATTCTCATGAAACTTTGGTGAATTATTTATATCTATTGATGTAAGCTCCCTTTACATTTTCATAAATTTTTAATATGACATTGAGAATTAATTGAACTTTAATTGTTTATAGTCTGACAACAGATTTACTAAGTATTGCGCAACAGCACAGTGTATTGCACAACAGCAAGAAATCTTTAATTGAATATAAATTCAATTCATATAACCAATTTCAAGTTCTTTGACTACATTTATTCAGAAACCTATAATATGTTAAATATTTAATACAATCCAAATTCAGACCTGTATCAAGCTTGAATATTGTGTCCATTTTTGTCCCAACTGTTCAGGGTTGGACCTTTGCGGGCGTATCCAGCTGCGCTCAGCGAAGCAGTTTATTATTATATAGTTGTTTTCCTTTTGTTTACTCTTGTACTTGTACTTCAATTAATTTGTACTTTACCGAGAAAGTGTATACTATTTACAAGGACTTACTATATAAGTCCTTGCTATGTAGTTGTACTGTATGTACTATCAACTACAAAAACTTTTTTGTTGGTGTCTTTGTCAAATTTACTATTAACTACAACAATCCTTTTGTTGACGTCTTTGTTAGATTTATTTGTATGTTTGTTTAATTTTTTAGTCAGTTGTGTTGTATGTCTGTGATGTATGTTGTCACAGTTTTGTCTGCTTGATCCCAATTATTGTCACATTAACCTATTATATATAAAAAAGAAGATGTGGTATGATTGCCAATGAGACAACTCTCCACAAGAGACCAAATGACACAGAAATTAACAACTATAGGTCACCGTACGGCCTTCAACAATGAGCAAAGCACATACCACATAGTCAGCTATAAAAGGCCCCGAAATGACAATGTAAAACAATTCAAACGAGAAAACTAACGGCCTAATTTATGTACAAAAAATGAACGAAAAAGAAATATGTAACACATAAACAAACGACAACCACTGAATTACAGGCTCCTGACTTGAGACAGGCACATACATACAGAATGTGGCGGGGTTAAACATGTTAGCGGGATAACAACCCTCCCCCTAACCTGGGACAGTGGTGTAACAGTACAACATAAGAACTATCAAAATCAGTTGAAAGAGGCTTAACTCATCAGATGGATAAAAATACAAATACTACAAATACAAGTGGACGTGGCCGGGTACTTGTATTATGTCTGTTTGGGTTGCTCGCCAAATTTTGTCAATATAAAGGAACTATAAACAACTGTTATTTTCTTCGGAAATATCTGTACCAAATCAGGAATATGACTGGTGTTTTCAATTCGTTCCGTTGGTTGATAAAGTTAAACGATTTCCCTTTTTAGATTTAACTTGGAGTGTGGTATTTTTGTTTTACTTTTTTGAATGGGGATGAAATAAAAGTTTATTTGGTTTGAAATTTATTGTAAATTTGTTCAAATCTTAGTTTTACTTATCTTGTTGTGATCTTCGATACATTTAAGTTAAGACGTATCCTTTCGATGAAGATGCATAAAACGCTGGAATAAGAGGACTTCGACTTTACTGATGTTTTGTGCCTTGATCATTCCTGCATAAACCTACAGTATGAAAATAAAGACTTTAAAAAACTTCTATATCTATTTGACAGATCAGTAAAATCCACTATTTCAGTAAGTGGGGATACCTTGGTGGCTTTGGGCTGTCTTCTGCTCTTTGGTCGGGTTGTTGTCTTTTTGGAACATTCCCCGTTTCCATTCTCAATTTTATACCATTGTTAAAGTTTACGACATCTCAAACATTTAACAAAAACATGCAAGGAGTAGACCGAATTGAAATAAAATGGCATAAAAACAATAGTATCACACTTATCTGCAATCGGTACTGAATATTTATAAACGTCATTATTCCAAAAAAACCCGTGAAAAGTGGAAGTTACACTAGTAATGTAAAATCTAAGGTCTTCTTATACCGGCCTGAATTCTAGGTGTAACGTTTTAAATCCGATTAATATGAAATATGTAAGACCCTTTGAACAATACCCGCAATATGTAAACTAAAGGCTGTTTCGTAGATGGATGGATGGATTTCCATTAAATGGGCTCACAAAGAGCATATATTTATAATACAATATAAGACATTAATAAGACAACAACAAAAAAAACAATAGTCAAGTATACATACAAAGAAAAGAAAAAGCAGTTTGAGCATGAATGAACCACACACGCATATAAATATATATATATACGTTTAACTTATATTTATCTCTAGGTGTCTTCGGATAATTTGTGTAATAGGGTTGCTGTCTTATTGCATGTACCCAACCGTTACCTTTTATTTATACATCTTCACATCTAACAGAGGCAACTAATGGTAACAGGACAACATTACAAAAATACAGGAATAATAAATACAACCACCGTGTATAATAGACGAACACTACAAAAATACAGGAATAATAAATACAACCAGCGTGTATAACAGGACAACATTACAAAAATACAGGAATAATAAATACAACCAGCGTGTATAACAGGACAACATTACAAAAATACAGGAATAATAAATACAACCACCGTGTATAACAGGACAACATTACAAAAATACAGGAATAATAAATACAACCAGCGTGTATAACAGGACAACATTACAAAAATACAGGAATAATAAATACAACCAGCGTGTATAACAGGACAACATTACAAAAATACAGGAATAATAAATACAACCAGCGTGTATAACAGGACAACATTACAAAAATACAGGAATAATAAATACAACCACCGTGTATAACAGGACAACATTACAAAAATACAGGAATAATAAATACAACCAGCGTGTATAACAGGACAACATTACAAAAATACAGGAATAATAAATACAACCAGCGTGTATAACAGGACAACATTACAAAAATACAGGAATAATAAATACAACCACCGTGTATAACAGGACAACATTACAAAAATACAGGAATAATAAATACAACCAGCGTGTATAACAGGACAACATTACAAAAATACAGGAATAATAAATACAACCACCGTGTATAAAAGACGAACACTACCACAACTTGAAAAAGATCAATGACAGAAAAATATTGGCCCAATTCGGGAGGATCAGTTTATTATCAATTAAAACTTTTTAGAATTCACGTCATATCAATACCAATATATATATTGCCATGTTGCTGTTTATTATTTTTATTTTTTTCTGCAATCTGTCAAAAGGACGAACATAATTTTATAATGTACTTAATTATGAACCAATTGAAGTGTTTCGAACTTCTAATAATTTTACCAATTTTAAAAGTCTTTTAAAAAGTACTTTATATCGTAACTGTCCGTTTTGAAACCAATTGAATTCCAGACGTTTAACAATTTGTCTTTTGTTTTTTGGATATCTTGATCTATGACAGCAAGACTACAAAATGGTATTTCATCGCCATCATTCTCACACTCTTCTAGGCTGTTGCTTAACTGATGATAACTTATAATTCCCCTTTGATCCATGTCATTGAATATATCAACCGTTTGTGACTTCAGCAACTGTTCTTTGTGAACAGACGGCACACAAGTTATGCCCATTATTCGATGAGTTGAAACCGGTTTTGTAATTTCTGGACGAATTCCTAAACAAGTCATGAATGTGTACAATAGAAGATCAATTCCATAACATGTCAATACCCAGTCCCTAATATAAAAACTAGGCATTCTAGCGTTCATTTCTATAAGCTTTGGTCCATTAGAGGTCATTTTCATTTCAACGTTGAAAACCCCGTCGACCAACCCTATTCCAATACAGCATTTATGCGCTGCAGTCATTAGTTCTTCTACTGCGCCTTTTGATAAACAACTAGGCATGGTTGCTGTTGTCTCTGTAAACCTGTCCTTCCTTGTTGGGCCATAGTCGGTTACAAAAGAAGCAATAAGCTCTCTCTGAAATAGGATAAGTTCAATACCATGCTGAGTCCCTTCTATGAACTCCATCAATGTGAATTTTTTTCCATGTGTTAACGCTTCATTCTCATAAGTAACTTTGAGCTCTCTAAAATCTGTAATACGCTTTACACCGGCACCACAACTTCCGTTTTCAGGTTTCATAACGGCGGGAACTCCAACATAAGAAAATGCATTTTCAAGGCCAGAAATAGTATTTATTTGGTTATATTTTACAATAAACTGGTTAGTCTGCTCTTTTGTTCGTAAGACATCATAGGTTGTGCCTTTATTTTTAGCCACAAATGCTGCTTGAATTCCTGTGCCGTGTAAATTTTGTTGGTGACAAATGGTTGCGGCTAAAGGACCGCACGTGTCTATAAATGTAACACAGCCGTCTATTGTTACTCCTTTTTCCTTTAGAATTTTAATTATGCATACTGCATGTTCCTGTTCCGTTTTTTGACTCAGAAAGTCGTATTCAATAAATGAGTTGACCTTTGAAATTGCAGAGTTTTTATTATCAGGGTCCACCAAAACAATCTACAGTAAAATACGAAATATATAAGAAAGTGAAATAAATACAAACGTAGCTTTGTTCCAAGTCAGGAGCCTTTAGTTCCGTGGTTGTCGTTGGTTCATGTCTGATATATTTGTTTTTCGTAAATTGTTTTTTTTATAGATTAATTTTCTAGTTTGAATTGTTTCTCGTTTTTCATGTCGGTGCCTTTAATAGTCGACTATAAGGTATGGGTTTTTCTCATTGTTGAAGGCCGTACGGTGGCCTATAATTGCTAAAATCCTATTCATTTGAACTCTGGTGGAGAGTTATTAGTTTCTTGATTTATGATGATGAGTACACATACTTCTAAAACTATGCATGCATGGTTAAATGATAAGTGGATTTCATTTGATTATGTTGAACGTATACTGGTCAGTTGTTATTCTTTTATTCCGAGCATGTATTCTTAACTGGAAAGAAAGATTATCTTACCTCCTATACATTTCTAGGAATATGATTGGTTAAAAGCGTCCGCGTGGAGACCGTGTATATTCCATATTAGGTTAGTAGGGAGGCGGGGCTTATTTCAATACACGGGTAGTAGTGGTGTTACGTCCCTTTATAAAAACAAAACGGTACTGAGAAAAAATCTTAAAGGTTTCAACAGACGAAGTAATTGATGAAGATTGAAATAAATTCATAAAACACATTTAAAGGAATTTACAGACCCCATATATACCGTATTAGGTCACTAGCACACTATGTAACTAATAATGCACACCAATCTCAAATAATTAAGTATGTTAAGCACAATGTCATATAATTCCACTTACCTTAATTCCAAATTCTTTATAAACATCCCAAATAAATCGTTGGCAGTAACCACCAACACCAATTACCAAAACAGTTTTTCCTTGCATAGCCATATATTCTTGTGGCTTAATCATTGCTTTGGTAGATAAGATAGACATGGATTATAATTAGTACTTACAATTAACACGACTGTACTAGTGAAACATAAAACTTAATCTCTCTAAATAATCCATAACTGCATATGTGACCCGCCATGACATTTCCAGGCTTATGGAGGTAGAACGTCATTGTAAGAAAAACGCCGTTAAATATTATATATATAAACGTTATGTAAAGTTTCGGGTGGGGACATACACGTTTATTTTTTTACTGAATTTATGTTTCGGATGCTTTTTACCATTGCATATGAAATTTATGTACTTTAAAGCTTTTAGCTAAAGCAAGCGAGCTAATAATAAACTTTTTCAAAAATTAAGGCTCTTTTTTAGTTTACTATGCGGTATGGGTTTTGCTCAATGTTGAAGGCCGTACGGTGACTTATAGTTGCTAACTTATACGTCATTTGGTCTCTGGTGGATATTTTTTTCATTGGCAATCATACCACATCTTCTTATTTTTATAACGTCATAACCACTTTATACCCCCTCCCATCATATATTATTTTCAACGCTTTTGTCTACATGAATTTGTAACGAACTGTAAAATGTTGTAGGTTCCATAAGAATACAAGTTTCTTTAATGGATTTAAAGAAATAAAATACATTTATCTATACTAGGGACAGTCGGTTGGTATAAAACGATTGACGTGAATATATGCGATGTACAGTTACTCCATAGATAAATAAACAGACAATACAAGACACAGTATTTATCATAAAAGATAAAGATGTCGTTAATTAGGTTTTGCAACGTAGATTTAAAATATGAGCAAAACCCATTTTCAGATGGCTCCTTCAATTTCCGCGATATTCATTTGAATAAGTATTTGTGAGATTTAACATTTTATTTACCTTGGCTTCTTTTTTTGCTAGCACTGAACTATACATCCTATATAAGTTCTGAAGAAGTTTTACGTTATCGTTTGAATGAACAATATTTAAAACTACATATAAAACTGATAAAAAAAATCTAAATTCTCTGCTCTATAGATTTTCATAAATGGAGTCTAAGATATATCCATAATAAATGCACCGTATCAAATGCATACTATAGTATATAAGAACAACTACTTATAAACTGTTACGCTTCGCCTGCTATGTGGTGTAGAGACATGTATCATAAATCTAAGTTAAAAGACAAATTAAAAAAACAATTCTAAACGCTTTCTTTGACAAATTTTATACTAACATCATTACAACAAGTTTAAATTACATTTTCTAAAAGAGAGCTAAGAACTGTTTGTATTGTAGTAAATTTAAATGTTCTAAAAGAGAGCTAACAACTGTTTGTATTGTAGTAAATTTAATTCTTTTGAAATGTGTCTTCACGCTGTTGGAGATTACCGAGCGCCAATAAAATACTACCATATTGTATTTTATAAATTAGTGCCTTCGATAATAAAAAGTCGTCATCAAATAGTGTCATTATGTCGATATTCAAAAAGACTCGTTTCATTGTTATTACAACAAATAGGTCATAATAACACGACAGAGTGTTTTGATTCAGTATGTTCTAGATAAATATACAAAAAGCCAATTTTAGACAAGGTACCCTCATAAGCCTGGAAATGTCATGGTGGGTCACATATACCGATGAAAAACTTAAATTACTCATACCAAATCCTGTGATACTGAATCCTGTGATAAATGTTATCGTTGTCCTTTTTTTTTTACCTTAAAAATATTTCAATTTCTTCTGGTAATTTTCGTGTCGGAGTTAGTGACAAACGGAAAGACTTTTCCTTTCTCGTTGTTAATTTTCCTTTCATTTACGGTAATTTCCCCCTTGAACCTGTATTACTCATCTTATGAGAAACGCGCATGCTTGTAGTGAAGTCTCGGATTTCAATTAATTAAGTAATTTTATTACTAATTTTAGTTTACAACAACGGTATATATATATCATAAATTAGTCAAAACGTTTACTATTTCCTGAGACTACTATAACACATAGTAGTCTCAGCTATTTCCCAACACAATATCAGCATTAGTTGTAGAATTATGAATTCATTTGCTGGCAATCAATAAAAATAGTATTTCCTTCCAGTATTATATAGTAATATTAATTTTTAAGAGAAAATCTGTCTGATTTTTTGTTTGGCTGAACAGAAAAAGTGTATGAAAGTGATAATGGTGATGCTGTTTAAAAATCAGTTAGGTAAAATTAATATCAATTTAGTTTTTATTAGGTTTTTGAATATCTAAATACATTTTGGACTCGGGCATAACTGAAGAGCGATAATTGTCGGAATGCGCATATGGTGCAGTAAAACTGGTACCGTTAATGTTATCACTTATCAATAGTTTGAAAACAAAATATTCTTTTTTGTGATCTTCTATGCATTGAAATTCGGTGCAAATTAACTTTGGTCATTGCCCCTGATCGTGTCTCCCTGGACTCTTTCGTATTTATCTGTATGACATCACTCGATCAGAAGTCAGTGCAATTTTCGATATTAAAACACAGGACAGAAGCCCTGGGGTCGAGTCCAAATGCTGTTCACTAAATGTGAACATTCCTTGATTATGATCTTTTTAATGTTGTTCTTCTTGTATTTGTGTTTTTTTTGTCTATTATAAAATTGAGAATGGAAACGGGGAATGCGTCAGAGACAACAACCCGACCAAAGAGCAGAAAACAGACCGCGGCCACCAATGATAAACCGTGGATAAGTGAGACGAATGTAAAGGATCTTTATTAAAGCTCAGTATATTTTTTCTTTATAATAAAGAATAAACAATAAATGATAGATATTGTGTATGAGTGTTCAGCACAGTATGGGCTGCATATAAATCTAAGTAAGACAAAAATAGGTCATCAAGTTGGTTACTTATTCCATATTCCTTATTCGTTACCTATTCGTTACTGATTCCTTATTCCTTATTCATTACCTATTCATTACTCATTCGTTCCTTATTCGATTTTGATATTTTTCCCCTTCAAATGCTTTATTTTCTTTTATTTTCTTTTCTCTTGTGCTACTTCTTGGTTTGTAGGGGTGAAATTAACCTTTTAGCGCGTATGTACCCGTTTTCGCGCTCGACTGATACCCTGTTACTTATTCGCTACTTATATGTTCCTTATTCGATTTTATACGTAGCACCTTTTTAATATTTTCTTTTCTTTTCTTGTCTCTGGTGATAGTTCTTGGTTGGTAGAGGTTAAACTACCCTATTATCGCGTATGTAGCCGTTTTCGCGCTCGACTGATACCCTGTTACTTATTCGCTACTTATTTGTTTCTTATTCGATTTTTATACGTTGCACATTTTAACTGCTTTATTTTCTTGTCTCTGGTGTGAGTTCTTGGTTTGTAGAGGTGCAATAACCCTTTTAGCGCGTATGTACCCGTTTCCGCGCTCGACTGATACCTTGTTACTTATTGACTACTTATTTGTTCCTTATTCGATTTTTATACATAGCACTTTTTTAATGCTTTCTTTTCTTTTCTTGTCTCTGGTGATAGTTCTTGGTTGGTAGATGTTAAATTAAGGTATATTATTGTAACACAAAAGACACTAACTGGACAAGTTAGTAAAAGCTACTTTTAGTTTACTTAGCAAAACTCATGAAGAATGTTTTAGTGTAGAAACTTTAGTATCTTTATTTGATACTTATGTTACAAGTATTATAAATTTTGGGGCTTTCGTAAAGCTAAAGATATAGAAAAATTGCATTTATATTATATGATTGATTGATTGTTGGTTGCGTACCGTTCAGTGGCAAATATTTCATGCATGTTCAGGACGAGAACAAATCAACAATAAATACTATAGGTAGGTCCTGTAATAGAGGCCGTCCGCGATGAAGGTCGGGGAAATTTAGACTGCCACGGGAAAATGAGAGTATATTGGATAGGGACAGAGATTTAGCCTTGCAACAGGCCACCTACGGACCCCTCAAAAAGTTGTTGAAAGGGTTCTTAACGTGCAAATAGCGAGGCATCGGATTTAACGTCCCCATTCTGACCGGACGTGGCTGCGAACTTGTACATCCCGCACAGAAAAGGACGCCCCAGTTTGGCGAGGGTTATCCTTTCGGTCGGAGGAATACCAATGGTGACCATACTTCTATTCCCCAGTCATCTTTGGGGTATATTATATGAAAATAATTTTAAAAGTTAGAAAAGGAACTGTTAATCACATGGTATATTTTCAGTTGGACAGAGTGCCATTGTATGCAACTATATATATATGATAATGGTCAGCTTCTAGTTGAGACTATTAGAAAAGAATGTATATAAAGATATGTAGGAATGTAGTTGTTTGAAGCCAAATGACAAGCTTAAGTTGTCCTCTAAAGTACGAGATATATATATAGTATGCTAGTATGGTTTTAGTGATGTTTGGTTTTCACAGAGTGTTAGAAACAGCCAATTATTTTTGAGCGAATCAAGTTAAACAAAGAGTAATAGATATCAATTAATTATATATAATTATATATCTGAAGGTTTATCATTTTTTGAAAATTCGCCGAAATGTTATGGCAAGCCGTTCTCGTCAAAACTATGTTTAAACCATTTTTCGAAAAGTTTACACACTGAGAATTAAAAAAAAAACACACTGAGATTAAAAAACCAATAAAAACACACACTGAGAATTAAAAATTACACATTGAGATTTCATAAAGACGCACTGAGATTACAAAAAATGAAAAACACACACTGAGAATTGAAAACTACATACTGAGATTTCAAAAAAGACACACCGAGATGAAATAAACTGAAAAACACACACTGAGAATTTGAAATTACACACTGAGAATTTAAATTACACACTGAGATTTGTGCGCACTTTTTATGCGCACATATCTAATTAACATACTTAATCTGAATCTATTACAAGCTTAAAACAACTTGGGGACAGAATTCGTTAGTCCATCAATTTGGCGCCAAATGTTTTATAAAAAAAACATTAGAAATACAACGTATAGAAAAACTACGTTATAAAAGACCAATAGAACAAGAAAAATATCCACTTACTCTCATTACAAAAAATATAACCAAATAGTGAAAACTTTTTTAAAATTATAAGAAAACATTGGAACAATCTGCAAAAAGACAAA